CGCCGGGCTCTCCTCCCGGCGGCGCTCAGAGAACAAAGCGCTGCGGAGACCGCCTGCGGTGTGCGCTCGGCCGACTTCTACAGCGCGGTGGTAGTTCCTAGTCTGTCTCCTAGTTTTTAATTTAATTTATCGACGGAAGCAAAACTGCAAAGGATCCCCAGTGGCTTCCACGAAGGGAGTGGAGCCAGGGCTTACTGGTGACCGCGGCGAGGACGTCTTTTAGCAGAGTTTTGAAGTTAAAGATCTGCACAGCATGAATGTGGGCACAGGCCCCAGAGAACCAGAAACCATGAGGGTTTTTTGTTTTGTTTTTGAGGTTTTCGCTGTAGGGCGCGTGCGCTCGCCAGAGACAGAAAGCGAGGGGATCCCAGGGGGGCTGGCCACGCCACAATCCCTTCTCCTCCATTCTCCTCTTGAGATCTTGGGCAAGCAGGCACACGCGCCCGGCGTGAGTTTAAGCCACGGGGTCCGGGAACTTGCTAGAAATCAATCCCCCAAACAGGTTCGGGGCAGAGGTCACATTAGGCATCTGCCTGCAGCCATGTTTTCCACAGGACCCTCCCCAAGACACGAGGCTTTCCCTAGCTGAACTGATTTTAGAGTTATTCGGGTGTGGAATCACAGAAGCCTCAAAGCCTCAGATGCTATAAAGGTTTTTTTTTTTTTAAATTATTATTATTTAAGATGGAAGGGGCTCTTTCTAGAATATTCCTCGCAAGATAGGTTACAGAACCAATGATGAAATCCTCTGTCCACCTTCCAGTAGGTTAAAGAGACAAATCAAGACCTGGTTGATTAATCTCCTCAAGTGTTCCTCATATATAGGGAAACTGAAAAAAAGTAAAACATGCAGCATGAACTCTGAGAAACCGTCCTCCCAGTGTGGCTGGGATCTGCATGGAGAACTGAGAGCCCTGCCACACCACCCCAGCCCCAGGTTCCACCCCACCTTTGTCATTGCTGGGGTGGCGAGAAGTTGGGGGGAAACAGAGAGCTGAGCGGCCCCCACCCCCAGAGAGGTAGGACGGTCACCCTGTAGCCCCCGCTTCCACAACTCCAGGCTTCAGGAGGACCCTGTTCTGGCCTCACCCTCACCTCTGTCTCTCCCTCACCTCCTGCCCTCTTCCACGCAGAGACTTTGTCTTAGGGTTTCCCACCTCCCTCCTGCTGGGGTAATGGAAGCTACGCGAGGACCAGGAGAGCCAGGACAGAATTTCTGCTGGATGTCCCCGAGGGCAAGGCTTACTTAACACCCCCTTCTGCCTTAATGAGCCATTCACGAGTGTGCCTTGGAGCATCCTGTCTGTCAGTGCCTGTTCCCCGCATTCCCCCTGGCCTGACCTCGGGAAAGCAGACTGGCCAGCTGAAGATGCTGGCCTGGGTAGGACACAGAGCCACACTGAGCACTCGGGTAACCCCAGACTTCCCTGCTGTTCAAAAGAACACACACACTCTGTGTTATGTCGGACCATTCGGAGAGGGACGTGGAAGAGGGCGGAGGAGTGGAAGGTACAGTCGTGGGCACCTTGGTGGGAAGATGGTGGGCGCTGGGGTCGGACCTCTGACTCTGCTGCTCAGAACCTGCCAGGCCCTGCACAGGTCAGAGAATCTTGTGAGCCTCCGTTTTCTCATCAGAAAATGGGGGTGCTACAACTAACCACTCGTGAGGATACTGTGTGGATTAAGGAAATAAATATGTATTAGAAGGACTGTGTTTGGGGGTGGCAGGTGGTGTACAGTTACATCATTGGACTCCTGCATGGCTGACTGTGGTTTGAGTCCCAGACCCGGCGGCTTGAAAATCACACTGGGCATGTATACATGTATGCCTAGAATCCCGGAAGAGGAATAGAGGAGCAGAGATTATGATGTGGCCATCTCCCTGGAGATGATTTCTCTCTTTCTCTCTCACTACGTCTGTCTCTGTCTCTCTCCAGCAGTGCATGTACCCTAAGGCAAAAACCTCTAAACAGGTGGTGTACAGTTACATCATTGGACTCCTGCATGGCTGACTGTGGTTTGAGTCCCAGACCCGGCGGCTTGAAAATCACACTGGGCATGTATACATGTATGCCTAGAATCCCGGAAGAGGAATAGAGGAGCAGAGATTATGATGTGGCCATCTCCCTGGAGATGATTTCTCTCTTTCTCTCTCACTACGTCTGTCTCTGTCTCTCTCCAGCAGTGCATGTACCCTAAGGCAAAAACCTCTAAAAAAATAATGAAAGAAGTGCTGTAGGTAGAAGTTGTACAATCTATGAAGGCTCTTTTGCCTTTTCAAAGCCATTTTATTAAGGTACTGACCTACAAAAAGCTGTAAGCATTTACTGTATACATACAACTCGATCGGTCTGGCATTAAGTACACTACACCGGTGAGACCGTTACCACAGTCCGAAGCATACCTACCACCTCCTCGAGTTTCCTCCTGTCCTCTTCATTATCGTTACCATTCATCGGTAACAAGAACACTTAAGGTAAGACCTACTCCCGCAAACTTTCAAGTGTACACTGAAGTATTGTTAACTACTTACTCATCTTGCATTACTGAAACTCCGTGCCCTTTGTGCAATCCCCCCTCCCCCCCAATTTCTCCCTCTCCCAAGCAACCACCATTCTACTCTCTGAGTTATTCAACTATTGTGCAGCTGAGCGAACAACACTGCAGTAAATATGGCAATGCCAGCATCTCTTCACGATCCTAATTTTCGTCACTTTGGGTAGATGTGCAGAAGTGGGATGGTTAAGATACACGGTAGCTCTGCTTTTAGCATGTTGAGAAACCATCCACTATTTTCCAGATGGGGCCGGTCCAGCTTACACTCCCACCCATAGTATTCAAGGGTTTTCTTTTCTCGAACATGTTTCATCTTTTGGTTTTTGGTAACAGCCAGCCGAATGGGGGTGAGGTGATGTCTCACTGAGATTTTGATTTTCACTTCCATGAGGGTTAGTGTTGTCAAGGATCTCTTCAGACATTTATTGGCCATGTGTATGCCTTCTTTAAGAAATACCTACTCAGGCCTTCTGCCCACTTTTAAAATGGGCTATTTGGTCTGTTGCTTATTGAGTTGTAGGAGTTCCGTACGTATTTGGGTTAGTAACTCTTTATCACACATCTGTTTTGCAAATATTTTCTCCCAGTCTGTAGATTGCCTTCTCATTTGACTGTTTCCTTTGCTGTGCAGAAACTTGTTGGGTCGATGTAATGCTACTTCTCTATTTTTTTATTTTGTTGCCTTTGCTTTTTGGTGTCACATGCAAGAAATTCTTGCCAAGACCAGTGTCAAGATTTCTTCCTGTTGTGTTCCTGGAGTTTTTTGAAGTCTTCTATTTAAGCCTTTGGTCTATTTTGACTTAATTTTTGAGGATGATGTGAGATAAAGTTCTAATTTTATTCATTTTCATGGGCATACTCAGTTTCCTCAACATCATTTGCTGAAGAGACAATCTTTCTTCATTGTATTTTCTGGACATCCTTGTGAAAGATCACATGTGTGTGGTTTACATACGGGTTTTTATTTCCGGGCTCTCTAATGTGTTCCGTTGGTCTATACATTTGTTTGTTTGAACCCATACCATACTGTTTTGATTACTGTTGCTTTGTGATATATCGTGAAATCAGAAAGTGATGCCTGTGGCTTTGTTCTTCTTGCTCAAAACTTGCCTCGGTTGTTTTCTCCTGGCCTGTTTTTACTTAGCGAGTCGGTCCCATCTCAGACTCAGTGAGGAGTCACCCAGGCCTTTCTCCACGGCTGCTTTCTGTGACTCTCTATTGGGTTATCCAATACAGTAGCTGCTAACCATGTGTGCTTATTACATTGAAATCCATCACGATCAAGTTCAATTAAAGGCGTCGTTCCTCAGTCTCATTGTGCACAACGCGAGCGCTCAGTGATCACATGTGGTCGGTGGTTACTGTGTTGGACGGCGTCGATAGGGGAGCCTCTGCCCTACAGAGTGTTCTCCCAGACAGCGCAGGAGCGTTCTTCCGCCCGAGCGATGCGTGAGGACACTCCGGGAAGATGCAGGTTTTCCCATCCGGCACCTCGCTTTTCTTCTTTGTCTCTTAAGGAGTAGTTCTGTATAACTGGAGGTCTTCCGTCCTGTTGCAGCTTTTTCCTCTGCTGGGGCGCCTTTTGGATGGTAAATGGCTAGACTCGTTTATAAATGAGTCATCAGATGTGTATGAGTCAGACACCATCTTCTGGACTTCTCCCTCGGCCTTGAAGGTCTTTGCTTATGTGTTTTCTTTCCCCTTCTCCGTGAGCTTTATGGCCGGTGGTGCTGCTGGTTTGGGAGCAGACACTGAAATAGTAGGAAGAGGATTTTCTGCCCCGTTGTACCCCGTGTGTGGTGCGTTTTGTACCTGAGTGCAATTACTGGAATGCCAAGTCCAATGTGTGGGTAAAAGCCAGAGAGTGTTAAATTGCTCAGACTTAGGAATGCTGCAGCT